ATTTTTTGGTAAGAGAAGAGACGAAGAGGTGCACAGAAAGGCATGGTTTTAGGCCCGGCGGCCAGTTCGGGAACTGATCCTGCCGCCGTCCTGTTCGTATGGTATTCACCATTAGCAGTGAGCCAACAGAATGTTGGTTCATGTATGACTCTGCATCCCCCGGTGAGTGTGCCGTGACCCAGTGTGAWCCAATGTGATCCTAGTGCTCACAGCCTTGCACCGACAGACCAACAGTGTCATATATATATGTACCTATATTAGGTGTTCGCATGGCCTGAGGGGCCTACGCTTAAGGGTTTATTTGGGTTTGAGATTGAGAAAGGAAAGAAAACCCCTCTATTTGTTGTATGCTTCTTAAAGATTTCTTAGTCGGACGTTGGTCCTGGACCTGAATTCAAGGTCCTTGTCCAGGACATCCTAGGTCCTAGACTCTGCATGGAACGGATCTCCCCCCATGTAGAGCCAATTTGCCCTGTCTGCCGGGACACTCAGCTAAAGGCCGCAGGTGCCGTGGAGACCGCACTGCTATTCCTTTAGCCGTGCAATATCGTGAAGGGGTAGACCCTCACGATACTTCGAGTTTGACACTTGAGTGTCATAAGCGGTATTCGGATCCACGAGGGACCGCTTGATTATGGGCACTATATATTGCGACTGCTTGCATATTCATGCATTTGCTAGTCGATATGAGTTAGCCCTGCGTCCGCACGGTTTTATACCAAGTCTCGCGTGCGACGTTTATCTGATTTCCATGTCGAAGAGATATGGGATGACTACTAAGGGACTATGAGTGTTGTCTCGTTGTTTGTTTTATGTCGTTTTGTGTATGTGTATGTGAGTGTGTTTTTTATTTTTATGTTCTTTAAAGTGGAGTACGTGTGGTGTGTGAGATGCGGCCTAGTCGACCGGCAACGAGTCGCGCTTGGGACCTCAGCCCCCAAGGAGTCGGTTCACGTGCAGGTTCGATAAAGGCGTAAAACCGCACGTACCCCCTGTGCTACAACGAACGAGAGACACCCTCGGCTGGTCCACCTCTGCGATTGCAGCTGATTAGCTTTCGTACTGTGGACTGGTAGCTCGGCGGGGATACGCCCACCGAAGAGAGGTGACAACTCCCGTAAGGTGGAGGTAATTCGTGCCTCGCGTAGGCCCTATCCTGTCGTAGGGGCTCGTGAGAGGTATGGCTGACATACTCAGCCGGAGCGGCTTGCGGAAGCTCCATGTGTATTCGCGACGAGGATTAAGGCCAACTCCTGCGTGACGCGGTCGGGAGGGTCCCGCCCTGCCTTATGCGGTGCCAGACCGATGAGTGGCGCCTTTGCCGGGGATAACGGAATCCTACCGTTGTCCCTGGTTGAACGACATCCGGGTATAAGATTAAGACATAATAGGCATACAAGGAAAGACAGAGTACGTAATGTCTTGCCAGGCTATTTATGATGAATAAATGTTATTAATGTAATAAGTTTTATCTCTGATCTAATTGATTGCCTGAGTTAGAAGATCATAAAAGGAATCCTATAAGTGAAAGTGGGGCCTATTAAGATGAGTTCAAAGGAAAGGAATAAGTAGTACTACTTGATCTAAATCGATAAGTGACTATCTAGGAAACCCGATAGGCGTCACGGTAAGTTAGGACGCCGAATGAAATTATTTCCTCCTCTTCTTAACAGGGAAATTTGAGCAAAAGGTTCGACCAAGATGTCGGGAGGTATAGCTGATGGTGTTGGGAAGGTCCTCACGATTGATGATTTGGTCGAAGCCTTGGACAGGCGTGAGAGATCGCAGAGCAACGTTCCCAAGGTTGATACCTTCCACTTCAATGGGGAACGGGTTTCTGATTGACTTAACTTGGTGGAACACGCGCTAGTGGGACTATCTGACGCTGTGAGGTTTCAGCGGATTCTGAAGTATGTGCTCCATGGCCATCACCAAGAGGTGGAGAAGGTTGTAAACGCAGCTAATGGCAGTTGGGCAAGATTCAAAGACGGGATGCAAAGGAAGTCCAGGCTGGGTGATGACCTGTTAACCACTGCGGACCTGGAAGCGATGAACAGGGATGACTTCACCAAAGTAGGAGCCTTCGTACAAGAGTTTAAGAAGAAGGCGAGAAAGGTCCCTGGGATCTATGAGGAAGCGCAATGTGCTATTTTCCTGAGATTACTCACTGCCTCGGAAGTGGCGGAGATGATAAGCCATGGAGGAGGAAGTGCGAAGCTCACCTGGGCCACTATTGACAAAGGAGTAGAGGAAGGAAGTCTGGACCAGGCAAAGGCGAAAGAGGAAAGAACGGGATGCGACAGCTTCAGGGACCCTGGGAGTGAAGAGGATTGTCACTGACGTACTTGCAGAACTAGGTTATGGGAAGGACGTGGTGATACAAAAGAAAGTGGTGACGGCGATCCAAGGAAAGGGGAAGGAACCAGTGATAGAGGAAGCTGTCCAGGAGGATTGGGAAGAAGAAGAGTCAGTGCCCCAACACCTTTCAAGAGCGCTACACAAACAGCACAATTTAACGCAGGGGGGACAAGGCTCAGGAAAGAGGAAGGCACCCCAAGCAGTGGTAGTGGCATCGCCAAGTGCGTCGGCTCCGTCAAGTAGCGCAGGACCCTCGCAAATGGCGGTACCACCATACGGGCAGTGGCCATGGCCAGTGTTCAACACCTTTGTGCCATGGGGAAGTCCGACTCCATCTGGGCAAATGGTACCATACGCTGGGCCTCAAGCGAGCATGCCACCACCAAGCTATCCCGCAGCACAAGCCCAACCCATGGCACCGCCTCCGTTGCCCACGCCGAGTTCACAAGGTAGTGTGGCTGGTGGAGGTAATCAAGGGCAGTGCAATCAGGGGAATGGGGGAAGAGGCGGTGGAAGAGGACGTGGAAGAAATGGCGGCGGCCGAGGAGGACAACGGGATAACCAGGGTTTCCAGGGCCAAGGAAATAAAAAAAGCCAGGGAAGTGGGAAATTCCGTTTCGATTGGAGAACCGCTATATGCCGGCATTGTGACAAACAAGGCCATACTATACAGTTCTGCAATACTAGGCAGGAAGATGAAAGGACATGACTGATGTATTCCAATATGGATGGTGATATATACGATCAGTTCGGAGAGTATACTGACTGGAAGGTTCCAGGTGGAGTAAGGGCGGAGGCTCAGAGAAGAATAGCTACGCGACAAGCGCCACCTGCCACGTTCAGGTTGTGGCAGGAACAAGATGACCCACCAATTAGGGTGGAAGAGATGGAAAGTGATGAAGAGGTGAGTTAGAGGCTACGGGCAGGAGCTATAAAGGAAGAACCCATAGTCGTTGAGTCAGAGAAAGAAAATGAAGATGAGAAGGTGAAGCCAACATCAATCCTTCTAGGGAAGATGGAGGATTTGTGGGGAAAGATGGGGAGGTACCAGCAAAAGTTGGTAGACATTTGCGAGGAAGTGAAGGGATAGAGGTTGGTATTCCCAAAGTCTTTCTTTATGAGTCTGGTCCGGAATCGTTGCCAGGGCGACCTGGAGTAGTTACCGTAGGATCAAGCCCGCGGTCTGGAATGATGGTCAGACCCCCTACGGCGCAAGGAAGAATGACGCAGGTGGCTCGCACTAGGGGACAGACCAAGGCCAGTGCAAGTCAGGAGCCTCCGCAAAAAGAGCCAGAGCCAGAAAAAAGAAAGGAGGCCATAGAGGTGGAGGATGCCGAGGAAGAAGACAAGCAGGACGAAAGGTTGCGCCAAGAAGAGGACCAGAGGGCGGAGCAAAGGGCTAAGAAGAGAGAAGCCCGGGAGGAAGCCGAGCCGATTCTGCGCAATGTGGCACCGAAGAAGAAGAAGTATGTGGTTCGACTGGAGGAGGGGTTCGACGTGGAAAGGGTGATTGATAGGTTGTTGGAAGACCATAACGACCTTATGACCCTGAAAGAGATTTTGTCATCGGCCCCTAAGCTTCGTGATGGATTGAAGGGAAGGTTGTCGCAGCGCGTGGTGCCAAGTGTACATCTGAGTGTGATTCTTCCAAAGGAGGCAGAATGAGCGGAGACGGGAACGAAGATGGACTGAAAGTTTTTGGCCTGCGGCATGGTGGATTTGCCACAAATGGTTAACAGGTACCCCCACTTTTCACCACTATGTTGGTAAAATTTCATGAAATTGCACTTTTGCCTTGCTGTTCTATATGTTTTTTTTTTTGTTTTTTTTTTTTACAATAAGTTAGTAAGAAGTACACTCTATAGATTGATGTGAAGTACTGTTAAAATGACCCTTTGTTTTTTTTTATAAATGGGGGTGAAAATGAGGGGTCGGTTAACCTTCTGTCTGGATTTGGTGATGAAAGGCTCCAAGTGCGCAGCAATGGTGGACACGGGAGCAGAGATGAACATCATCCGGGAAGCTGATGCGCTTAGGTTTGGATTAGAGGTAGACCGCTCAGATTGCCGTATTTTACATAGAGCCAGCTGCAAGGCAGTGTTTTGTGGGACAACCTCGAATGTACTTTGGGAGAGTGAAAGTCGGGGCATGCTTTTTTGTCATGCCAGATGTGGACCATGTCATCCTCCTCGGAAGGTCGTTCCTGTCCAGGACAGAAACGTTATTGTTTAATAAACACGACGAAACTCTGATCCTGATTATGTGTGATCTGGCATGTGAGAATTATGAAATAATCACTTGCGGGAACACCGGTCCACATAGCATAAGAAATCGGCCCAATTCCGACTCGTTTACAATCGAAGAATCTGAGGATGAGCGTCGAAGACTCCGTGTGGAGCCAGAGGAGGAAAAAAGGGATGAGGCGTTCTCCCTCAGTTTATCGGACGTAAACAAGGCAATGGATATAGTGGCTACACGCGAGACGGCAGATCCAGATGCCATTCAGACGTTGAGGGAGCAAATCCCGGAGTGTCCCCAGGCTGGGGAACTGGAGCTGGTCTATCGACTTCCGGGCGGAAGGAGAGACCCTACAATGAAGCAGGCGCAAGCAGTAAGCCGACCTTTTTTAGGGGACGACTCAAGCAGGGTTCCCAAAGGCGGTACAAGACGATAGATAAGAAGTGTCGTTCAGTTCCCGGCCTCGTTACGGAAGATGAGGAGGTTTATTACGAACAGGAACGAGGATTTATACGGCGCATGAGGGAACAAGCAGCGATGGGGCTGTGCCGTATCAATGAAGAGAATGAGGAGAAGTTGATAGTGGGAGAGCCAGAGTTCCTGCTACCCCGGGAGAAGGCGCTGATGATAGAGTTGATGAAGAAAAGGCATCGCGCCTATGCATTCGATGACGATCAGCGAGGGCGGTTGGACGTAGATAAGATCCTCATGATCCGAATCCATACCGTGCCGCATGAGCTATGGAATTTGAGAGGGGCACGGTATCCCAATCCTCACGAGGAAAAAAAAATAATGGATTACCTTGACGGCAAGATACGTACGTATGTCGCCGACTACTTAAGTGGGTCGTACGCGTCTTCATGGTTTTGTTTTGTTAAGCCTAATGGGACGCTGCGGTGGGTGCAAGATTTGCAGCGGCTGAATGCGGTGACTGTGCGAGATGGGGGAGGTTTGCCAAATGCAGACGCGCTGTCATAATCCTGTGTTGGGAGACCTATAATTTCACTTATATACCTCTACTCTGGGTACGACCAGTTTTCAGTCTACCCACCAGACAGGCCAGTGACAACGATGCATACGCCCAGAGGACTGATCCATATGAATGTGGCTCCGCAAGGATGGACTAATGCGGTGGCGATGGTTCAACGACATATGATTCGAGCCATGCAGTCAGTTAACCCGTATACCGACGATTTGGCGTTAAAGCGGCCGAGAGAGAAGGAGAGTGACGAAGTATTGCAGGAAGTAAGGTGCTTTGTTTGGAAGCACGTTCAGGATCAAGATAAAGTCTTGAGCTTGAACACAACCTCACAGCAAGTGGAACCAAATCCAGACACTGCATGAGGGAAGCTACCATCCTAGGTTTCGTCTGTAGTGAGAAGGTTCGTCGGTCGGACGTAAGAAAGACGGACAAGATTACCGAATGACCGGTACCATTCCATTCGATAACTGATGTTAGAAACTTCCTCGACACTTCGTCAATAATTTTGCCGCCAAGACTGAACACTTGAGAAAGTTAGTTCGTCAGGACCAGGAGTGGATCTGGGGTGAGGAGCAGGAAAAGGTTGTGGCTAGGATGAAAGAGGAGTTTCGAGAAGGAGGGTTAGTACTGGGAGCACCGGAATATGATGCCACAGAGGTGAGGCCATTTGTCGTTGAAACGGACGCTTGACCGACTGCCTTGGGAGGAGTTTTTATCCAGACAGATGTCGAAGGAAAAGAGAGATCACTGAGGTTTGAGAGTCAAACTCTGAACACAACTGAGAGAAACTATTCTCAGTTTGAAAAGGAAACTCTCGCTGTCCTTCACTGCCTAAGAATCTTCAGGAATTATATCTTTGGCAGGAGGTTCATATTGAGGGTAGCCGCAACCTCGCTCGCCTATTCATTGAGAAATTATTGTTCCATCGGATCCAACTGTTGCCAGATGGTTGACTTACATCTGGATGTTTAACTTTGAGTTGGAAAAAATCCCTTGGAACAAGAATAGAGCGGATGGGTTTAGCCGCATCGACTGGGACCAGCAGAAGGAGAAGGCAGTAGAGGTTGCGCCCCCCATTGATGGGTTCCTGGATCAAGAGGAAGACATCCATCTTCACATAAATAAATGGTCTTTGCGAGTGCCGAATTACGTTGGCCACCCCATGTGGATTGCACCCCGGGGGTATGAACTGAAGGCAGAGCTGGTGCTCAAGCCTTTTAAACAGAGGTGGGCAATTTTTTTTTTTCTTCACCCTCGACCCAACCCGCCCAAATTTTGTTTTCCCCCATCCACCCGGCCCAATAATTTTATCTTTTACTTTAAGACGACCCCACCCACCTAAAATATTTTTTGAAATTTCAGCCCCACGCCCGATCCGCCCGTGACCCGAAAAAAACCCTCACCCACACCCGCCCGCACCTGTAAGAGTATCATCACCCGCCCGCACCTGTAAGAGTATCATCACCCGCCCGCACTTGTAAGAGTGTCATCACCCGCCCGTGTCCAATACCTAAATTTTCTTCACCTGCACCCACCTTCATCAGCCCGCACCTGGCCATGCCAGTCCCTTACACCATCACAATTTCATCAGCAACATAGCATTGCAACACGCGCATCTGAAATCCAATTATTAAAACAATAGCAACATCAATAATGAGACTCAAACATCTCAAAGGAAAATATCTAAAGATTTTTTTTTTTTGCCCAGGGGCAGCTGCACTGCTGGAGCATGCCGCTTTTTTCTTTTGCACCGGCGTTACTTTATGAGGACCTGGGCAACTGAATCCAGACACTTTTTTCTGTGGCTCTCAACCTCAAGCCTGACGTACTACACAAAAGGGGGGGGAAGGGGGAGGGGGGGGGGGAGGGTTGCATAATTTTTGGGTCATCCTAGGTCTATGGGTTGGGTGCCCCAGGCCAAGCCATCACCTGCCTGCCACCCACCCAGCGGGTGACCCATGTCAAATCTTCACCCGCCCGTCACCCAAAAAGGCATGCTGGCTACGCCCGCCCATAACCCACCCAAGACAGCTCATGTAGACCTAAATCCGACCCATCACCCTGTGGGTCGGGTGGGTGCAGGTGGGTGCGGCTCTGGGCGCCCGGTGCCCAGCTCTGCTTTTGAAGAAGAAGACCCATAGGACGACAAAGATGTCCAATGGATGATGAACTTAGCACTAGCGGGCACGCATAGTCTGGTGGAGGATGTGAGAATCATAGTGGAAGGATCAGACCAGGTAGAGAAGCACGATGAATTGATGGGAGGGATGTACCTCCTCGTCAATATACTTCTACAGGGAAACTTTGAGCAGATAAGCTTGTTGAATCCAGCTGAGAATGAAGATGTGGTGCCAGAAAGCCAGGATGACGAGTTTGAAGAAGGGAAGATCAAAAAGGCATTCCGAGCAGAGGAGTATGATGGAATCTACCTGGAGTTGGGGCTTCTCCTATTATGTGAAATGCGGGATAGAGATGCAAGTGAAAGGGCTCAAAAGATTAGGGATCTCTATTTGGTGAGAGATGATCATCTTTTGTAAAAAGGCAAGTGGGAAACCCCAGGATGGTTGTGTGTGGCAGGAATCGTCAGATCAATATTATAACTGCGCTTCATGATGGTATTGTGGGAGGACACTGGGGAGTTAGTGCCACGTATGTCAAGATAAGCGAGCTACACTATTAGGATGAAATGATGAAGATGGTCAGTAAGTTCTGTCGTTCCTTCGTACCTTGTCAAGAACGGTCTCCTCTGAGGCCAGGAGAGTCGTTGCATCCAAGGTTAGAAATGGAAGTGGGGGTCATGTTACGTCTCGACTTGCTCTTTATGCCGATTGGGGATCATGGCTACAATTATATCTTCGATGCGCGTGACAACCTTTCTGGCTTTGTAGATGAACGAGTCACTCGTACAAAGACCGGTTCGGTTTTTGTAAGCTGCATCGAGGAGTACTACCTGCGTTATCCCTTTGTCAGAGAGTTCGTGATGGATAGAGGGTCGGAGTTTACCTGCCAGGAAGTGCAAGAATTGTTGTCAAGATACAACGTGGTAGCCAATTACGCTACGATCGCACACCCCCAGACAAATGCTCCAGTTGAAAGAGGGCATAGCACCATCACGAATCTTCTGGCTAAGTGGACTAAGGGTAGGCCTAATCAGTGACCAAGATACCTAAGCGCAGCATTTTTCGTCGAGAATATTACGGTAAAGAGGACCACTAAGTACGCGTCAGCCACGCTATGGTACGGGAGATACGCACCTTCCCAATTGAGAGCTTCCTAAGAACTTGGAGGCGTCAAGATTTAGAAACCAACCTCTCCTTCGAGGAATTGCTCGACATTCAGGCGCGACAAGTGGATGCGATTGAGGAAAGAATCCAGGAGGCGTCCAACCAAGTGGAGAAGAGCCGCATGGATGATAAGGCTCATTGGGTACGGAAGGTACCTTTGGCAGTTGGGGATGTCGTACTACTATATGACTCGTCCTTGGAGAAGCAATGGTCCAGGAAGCTTGACAAAAGGTCGCTAGGACCCTATCGGATTGTGCGATGTAGAGATCTCAACGCATACCGAATTAAAGAGTTAGGTGGGACAGAATGAAAAGATTGGGTATCGGGAACGAGACTGAAGAAATTTGTGGCAAGAGAGGAGGTAAGATAGACGATCCAACTCCTTTAAAGTAGAATCTTAAATATGTTGAAAAAAGTCATAGATAAGACGTAGAAAAGGAAATGGATGATAGGATGTATAAGTTGGATAGATGTGCTTGATGTGTGTGCTTAGTCTGACCTGAGCCTGCTTTATTTCTACCTGTTTTGCTTACCCCAATGTGTGTTTGTCGTCTCTTTCGCCTGTTGTGCAGGTCTGACTTTACGAAGACAGCCACGCCAAGAGGAGGGAGGGGGACGCAGCCGCCACGGAGGCCATCGGGAGCATGAGGAGGTTATGAGCAGCATGGGTCTCGCCATAGGGAGCACACGCCCGTATAAGATGACGGGGATATAGAGCTCTTCTTGGATGACTTTGGAGGTCATGCGGAGCATATGGGATGGACAGTGACGCAGATGATTGAGAGGCTGAGAGGAGCCGACAAATTTAAATAGCTCATCGCACGGATCCGTATGGAGGCGAGGACCTGGCCAGAGGTAGAGATGAGGATGCAGGAGCTAGGACCATCACCTGTGGGGCCAGATGGCAGGCCAATCCGCTTGGAGATCGGGAATGTGGAGGACTTAATCCCCGCCTTCGAACAGTTCATGCATGATCAACGCATTTTGAGGGATGAGTGGGCGAGGACGTTGCCATTATGGACCAGGAAGGCGGAGAGGCCATTGGCCAGGCAGATCAGGGATATGGCCCGGGACTGGGAAAGTTGCAGGGCACATTTGAGACAAGCCTTTCGACGACCGGAGCCACCTCAGCCTAAGGTTGAGAGATGGCAGAGGAGTAAGAGGCAGAGGGACCCGGAGCCTAGAGAAGCCATGTTATCGCAAGGAGGACGGAAGGCGCCCGCTAGGCGAGAGGAGGAGTCAGTACCTTTGGAGGAGGAGCGAGGGGCATATCCCGAATGTGGGATAGACCCGGTGGTCTTCCAGCGCTTTACTGGAGTGGAGTTGAGCAGGTCTCCCCAACACGCGAGAGAGGAGGTGGCGCCATCTAGAGGATCATTGCAGGAATTGGAGGCGCACCTGGATATTTCACAGTGGAGAGAGTCGCCGACTAGCGAAGGGTGTGGTGAGCCGGCAGAGGAGGTGCAACAAGAGGAGGCCCATGAACCTGAGCGGGAGACAAGGCAGAGTGCTGAGAAACAGCGTGCTATGGAGGAGGTGATAGAGGTTGAGGAGGACACTCCACCTAAGGCGCATGCTGCAGAATTGGGGCCAGAGATCGTACGGGAGATCGCCCGCGAGGAGGAGGAGCCTCGGCAGGAGGAGATTTCGTCCCCGCCGCCTGAGGTGATCTTTTCGCAAGGGGCGAGGATGGAGATCTGTCTCTTATACACATCTAGATGTGTATAAGAGACAGGAGGAGGACACTCCACCTAAGGCGCATGCTGCAGAATTGGGGCCAGAGATCGTACGGGAGATCGCCCGCGAGGAGGAGGAGCCTCGGCAGGAGGAGATTTCGTCCCCGCCGCCTGAGGTGATCTTTTCGCAAGGGGCGAGGATGGAGATGGAGCGAGAAAGGACCGACTGGAGGAGAGAGGTCATCTCCACGATTGATAGGTATCTGGCTGCGCATGAGCAAGAGCACCCTGGCATCGAGGAGCCCGTGCCAATGGAGCCACCACGAGAGCCGCACCAGCCAGAGAGAGAGGCGGGGGCCGAGATTTCGGGGAGAGCAGACCATCGCACGAGAGGGACAGTACCGGCAGGGGAGACATACGAAGGGAAATGGGCCAGAGTTGGGAAGCGCGTGGAGGAAATTTGGCGGGAAAGGTAGAGGTTAGAGGCGGCAGGAACACTCCCAGATCGGCCACCAGGCACACCACCTAAACCATGTGGAGTCAAGGAGATGTGGGACGAGTTCATTGGCCAGCACGACAAGGGGTTGGCGAATCCAGAGAGGGCAGGACTCCGGACATCGAGGATGGCGGGTGAGTACCTGGACTGTAAGATCCGCTTCCTGGCCAAGACATATTTCAATAGGTACCTGATGTTGGAAGCTGATCTGGCCGAAAAGAAGATGAAGGAAGCGAGCCATGGAGTGCGTTTGGAGGCGGTTGAGGCGGAGGTCCGAGAGCTCAAGGCATTGGTGGCTAGTCAAGCTGCCATTATCCAGGATTTGAGGCGGCAGCCTCAAGACGTGGCAGGCAGGACAGAAAGAGAGGGGCCTGCCGAAGGAGTGGACGAGGCAGGGAGTAGTCGACATGACACTAAGAGAGAGTCAGTACAGGGCTTATCCGGGCAGCCATCCGCAGTTGGACTCCCCCAGGAGCCGCCCATGGGAAGAGTCATCCTGGAGTCTGAGGAGGCAACGGCAAAGAGGGAGGCAGAGAGAGAGACCTTTTAGTTCAGAGCGCCTACTGAACTCGCCACGTTGCCAACAACAGCTGTGGAGCCCATGACAGTGGCTACGCCATTATCAGTCGAGGGGGGGCAGCAGACAGCTAGCAGCGAGTCGGTCCAGGGTTCAGGGGAAGGGTCTATGGACGTGCTTCTGGAGGCAGTTGACACTATGCAGGAAGAGGCGAGTCTGTTTTCGCCTGAGCAGAGGGTGGAGGAGCCCCCTGAGAGAGAGATGGTGATTGCGATGGAGGGCGTCATCGAGGGCAGGCCACAAAGGATGGATACGCCTGAGTATACGTCAGAGGGAATTGAAATACGATTGGAGCAGAGTACTCAAGTGTTAGAGACGAGACATAAGGAGCCTATAGGTATGCCCCAATCCTTTGAGATGGGCAGAGAGACCAGTGAGGCACCTTCGTCGCCAGGGTCTCAAAGAAACAAGAAGAGGCTATGAAAGTCATACGACCCGACCTGTTTTTTTTGTAAGAATGGTGAGCATAGGGTCTTGTACTGTCCTAAGTTTTTGAAGGACAAGGCAACAGGGAAGGTTACTGAGAGTGGTGGTAAGATATATGATAAGACAAGGTAGAATCGTAGAGTGATCTGCCGATGGGGGAAGAGCTCAGTTATATAGGCAAAACCAGGAGGAGATGAGTAAGTAGCGACTGGTCTACCTATGTGTAGATTACTGTTAGGGTAGCATAAGGATGAACACAATATGTACATTAGGGCCGAGGTTTGATGGTATCTTTGTTTTTGTTTTTTGCATTCTTGAGAGTCTAGATATTTACTCTGTTAGTTGTACACATGGAGGATTACAACGTATGTTTCCCATTGAGATTCTTTTTAGTGATATGAGAGTCAGGATTATGTAAGATAGCATGTGTATGCTGAGGACACTGTTCTTTGATCTTGACGTTCGGATTTTAGTGTTTGTCTCGGTGACGCTTCTAACATTACGGTTGACCATGTACCATATTGAGAGTGACATTGATTGATCCGAGTGAGTTATCCCCCATGCCCTCCAGCCTATTTCCTTCGCGTCATTGTCTTTCGTGCCTCACTGCCTTGTATCCTTTGTCTACCTTTTGTATGTCAAGGGGACCTGCAATGCTACCCAATGGATTGTCTATGGACTTGACTCACTCAGATGCGTGCTTTCCTATCTGAGTGCTTTCCTTCTGGAGTGTTGCAGTGCAGAGGATGACTTATATGTCTCTTTACACACACATCATCACACACACGCACATCATCACACACACACACACACACACACACACACACACACACACACACACACACACAGAGTCTGCTAGGATTGCAGGGTTGAAGTCTACCACTTCTACCCTGGGAGGCGTGGCGAGTCCTTATCCATTAGTCAAATGCATTTTTGGCAAACTGTCGGGATTCAACTGCCTGATGACCGGTGAAAGTAAGGATACCAGGAATACCAGGTCTACTTGAGAGCAAAAACCAGGAGTCGAAAGAAGGCCCAGAATTTCCAGAAAAATGGACTCACTCTGGCTTTGACATCCACATCTGTTGAAATGACCCAAGAGAAGCCAGAATGGAACCACCGATCCATACACTGCAAAGCACAGATGCAACAACGCAGCATGGTAAGAAAATACTAAAAGGCAAGACAATGTTCTTTGCTCCAGAAGACAAAAACACAACATTCTTTGCTCCGAAGACAAAAACACAACATTTCAGTCGCTTTCCAGCTTTGCTCAAACGAGCAGTCATACTCGAGTTCCCTCCACTCAGGAATGAAGAGGGGTCAAGCCTCAATACAATTGTCACATATCTCTCAACTAAAAGAGCGCACTTTGCGAAACAAAGTCAACAAACGATAACATTACAGAAGACAAACATGAACGGGACGTTGATCATTTCTTCGTTTAGCTCCCTGCAACGATTGAGCCCCTCGCAAAGGCCTCGCCGGGCACACAGACGTTCTGGGTTTAGGCCCCCAACAAGCCTCGTCCCCGCCCTAAGTGAAGGCGGGCCTGCACATCCACGTGAGGCCTCATATGTGGGGTACTAGACAGTTGCAGCACGCCAGTTGGTTACAGAGCAATGTGAGCCTTCCCTGGCTTGTTCCAGAAGCAACAGCTGCGTCGTGCAGTTGAGCCCAGGGCTCATTCGGTTGCGGCCCTGCATGCAAGCATTCAGAGGCAGACAAGTCATGTAGCGGTCACGGACCAATGAGAAAGCAGCTCCAGCGTCACACACTCCACATGCCAATGAGATCGCTCCGAACACTTGGAGCCTCGTGGGCTACCTGGAAGTGCCTAACTGCAAACGGCCCAGGCCAGTATCTGAAACTGG